CCTTCTTTTCACTTTTCTTGCAAAATATCAGCATCTCAGCACCTTTATTCGGTCAGAAAGAGGACAGTGCTCTCCCTAGAATCCATAAACGGACTGGCAATCTGTCAACTCTCTCCCTCTCACTCCAGAGACAAAGAGACACATCTGCAACATGCAGAAACCTTTTTTGCCTACAAACCTTTAATTCCTCTCTGGGAATAAACACTGCCAGAGAACTGTCTGTTATTAAACAACACCATACCCAAGAAGCTTGCCAAAATAACTGACACTGGTTGGGAATTCAAGTAAGTTCTCTGTCCTCCTCTTGACAGAAAAACATGAGATTATTCGAGGAGGGATCATAGGAGACACTTCGTCAATGAGATAGGAACAGGGCCACACAGCACAGTACATGTTGCAATCCATACTGGCACGAGTCTTTTCAAACATAATGCACAGAATATCACCTAGAAAGTATCATGAACGCCTTGTCAGCATTAGCATGATTTCCAAAGGGTATATGATTTATCTGCACAAGTCACAACCTCAGCCTTGAGAAACTGCTTAGGATTGGATTAATTTATGCCAAGTCCTCCACAGCATAGAGCATGGGTCTCCAACATGGTAATTGTGGGTGCCATGGCACCTGTCAACATCTTTTCTGATGCCTGCCAAGTATTTTTAGAAAGTGGGTGAGACCAGGTGGGGCTTTTGCTCAGCTGGGCTTCTGACTGGTCACTGGAAATCTGATTAGCTGTACTGATTAAAATAATATTGTTTTGGCAGCAGCTGCCACCACAGTGTTGGTTTTACTCTCTCACTCCTCTTTCCCACTGTATTTTTATTTAGCAAGTACAAATATCAATATGGCAGCCATTCAAAGATTCTTCTTTACCAGTGGTGACCAACACATTCCATCAGCTTTACAGGTGAATCAGACAAAAATCACAGCCTGACTTCTATACAGGGTTCCTATATGGGTCCAAGCTTTTGGTTCCAACATGGAAGCCATTCAATCATCTTTCCTCTGTGCATTGTTTGACACTCCCAGATGTTTGGCTTCACCATTCTTGCGCCCTTGACACTGGCCTGAAACAGCTTGCCACCTCTGCTTGGTTTGCTGCCCTAAAGTTTGGACTATTTCAGGGCCATAGCCAGGAAATTTCCCGGTGGAGGGCTTTGGGATTGGGGAGGGATTGTGCCCCCCCCCAGACATGGTCACTAGTGATGTCACCACGTCTGACTCTCCTCTGAGGAGAGCAAAAGAAGAGGTAGGCACAGATGCAGTGAGGCACCAGGGTGGGCCATTCTCTAATGGCCTGCCTCGGGGCCTCACTGCATCTGCGCCAGCCAGCAAGTGGGATCTCTGAGAGTTCTCCAAGATCTCTCAGAGAACCAAGATGCTGGCTGGCGCAGATGCAGTGTGGCCCAGGGCAGGCCATTAGAGAATGGCCCACCACGGTGCCTCACTCATCTGTGCCAGCAAGCTGGTTCTCCAAGAGCTCTGGGAGAGCTGACTCACTGGCTCAGCTGGTCTGCTAATGGCCCACCCCTGCACCTCACTGCATCTGCGCCAGCCAGCTGAGCCAGCCAGTTGGCTTTCGGAGACTTCTCCAAGAGCTGACTCACTGGCTGGTGCTGAGGTTCACCAGGGGCTGGCTGGCTGGCACTGCTCCCCCCATTTGATGGGGGGTTGAGCCCCTAAAGCTCCACCACTGGCTATGGCCCTGGACTATTTTTACACTTTTCTCAGTCCTTTCCTTTCCTTTTACTTTGGTCACGCTTGTAGCTAATCTTTTAGCTGTTATTGATCCAAGTGTGACGCAGGTAGTGGCAGAGTTTTTATCTGTAACCTTGGGTGGAATTAAATGAATTAATTCTGCCCTTTGTAGGTAATTAGTGTGTATTCAGTAAATTAATCTGCAATGTTGTGAAACTGTAAGCTATAAATTATAATGTATGTTGTACTCCATTTCATGTATTATATTTTGTATATTTGCTTATGACCTATTGGTCTATGAGCAATAAAATGATTGAACCTGTATTTTTGGTCACACTCTGATTCATTGTAAGTCTACTGTGACAATTTCTCGACTCTAAAATAGCAGGTCTAGGGTTTCCCCTCTCTGAAATGTCTGAGTTAGGCTTTGATAGAGCTTTTACTCTGATAAAAGAACAACTTGAACTATTAGACTGGAGTAATCTTTTATCAGGTGCCAAACAAATTTTCTCTCCATTGTACCTGGGTTTTACTCCTTCAAGACCATTTTTCAGCAATAAGTATCTACTCTCTTATAGTTCCCTCTTATTTCTCTTTTCCTTGGCCTGTTTCAATGCATTACCTATTGCTGATCTTTTTGAAAGATTATCCATCATGCAAAATGGTCAAAGGATCTGTTCTTGTGGTCTCGAGGTACCTGAAACCCTGCCACATTTTTTCTTCACTTGCAAATTTGATGGCAGTTTAAGAGCTTCTCTGATAACTCCTCTTCTTGTAACTTTTCCCAGGCATTCAGAAGACTATTCGTTGCTTTACCTCCTGACTGGAAATGAAAACCACATTTTTCTGGCAGTTGCCAAATATATCTTGGTTGCACTAAAAATTAAGCTACTGCCATTAATTCAGTGCCCAGCCAAATATACAATGATTCTGTGGCTATTTTGATTTTTTAAAATTATATATATTCAATATTTACTTTTTCCTAAAGTGCTGAATGTTCCTTTTTCTCATGGATTTCTATTATTGCTATATTATTTTGTCTAAAAGTCAATGTGCTATGTAGACTTCCTTGAATAAATGAATGAGAATGAATATGGTGGCTGTTTGCACACATACAAAATGATACGAAAGCAGCAGCCACCTTCCCATGCTTGGAGAACTGCCTGCCCAGTAGAAGAAACAGAATGCTTAGTTACTGTAGCATATTTCAGGCACTGATGGAAGAGAAGCTATACAGAAAAAGAGTATGCAAGTTTTTTCAAAGAAAGATATATGGGGCTTCAAAACATGATTCCAACAAGGACCTCGTGTTCTTTAATTTGGATCCCTTACAATATAATTTAAAGCGCTTGAATCCTTAATATAAACCTGTGGTAAAATTATCTACATCTTTTAAAACCAATATAAGAATTCACATAGACATATACAGAAAAACTTTTGACATATTCATTTTTTAACAAACTCATTTTGCAGCTGTTCTTAACTGTCTTACTTTTACCCATAATCTATAAAAAGTTTCCTAAGAGATTTTAGAGTCAGTTGGGGAAAGGATAAAGGAATTATAATATGGGCCACATTACATAGGGCTAAGGGATCCATCACCAGAGCTATGATAACAGGTTGTCCCCTATGGTCCCAGGATCAGCCCATTAGCAAGGGAGTATGGAACTTTTCACCACTGCTTCTATTAACCCAGAGTCATTCTACATCAGCCAGGATACCCATGGTACTTGCATTTTGGTAAGCTGAGACTACAATACAGCTTCACGCTACAAGTGTTTACATAGGATTTCTGGGCCTTGATTCAGTGTGTG